TGGGGAGGCCATTCTCTGCAGTGGTCCACTCTCTTTGCTGGGAGTCTCTGTCACTTCTGATACATTTATGAGCTAGCAAAGGAGAGAGCAAGGTAGCCGTGGGTCCCTTTGAGAAGAAAGAAGCTGGGGGGGGGGGGAATACAATGTAAAATATGTTCTCATTGCCCCATGTGCAATTAAACAGAAAGTCGTTTTTCTCAAAGCCCTCTTCTAAGACTCCTGTAGATAGGTTCCTTTTATGTTAAGCAAGCTTACCAACAATTCCATTCATGAAAAAAGCTGAAAGGTTGCTTTTCTGCTACCAGGGCTATTGATAAGGCCCTTTGTGAAGTGTAATGATGCCAAGTAGGAAAACATCACTTTGTACCAACGAAAGACACTATATTCTTCCTGTAGGTTCCTCTGTGGGAAGATTAATTGGAGGTGCTGTGCCTTCCCCTCTCCTCTTCCCTTAACATTAGACAAGATAAAAAAGGAAAGGGGTGATTACTGTGCACAGAGGCTCTGATCAAACAATCACAGTGGATTGTGTGGCAGGAGGTTCAAATGTTTTCTGGATCATTGGAGCCGAGAGGTAGATCACACAACACTTTAAATGGATGTTTAGCCAGAAGATGAATGGTTGAGGTCTTTCTCAAACAGGTAGGCTTCTTTTGCCTCACTAGTGCAGCTGCTGCTGATTTACAAAAAAAAAAAAGATCAATGCAAACTTTAAACAAACCACCTTGTAAAAACAGGAAAAAAAATACAAGAAGTTTCCTACCTTACTGGGGCAACACTTGGGATGTTGTTGTTGTTTAGTCGTTTAGTCGTGTCCGACTCTTTGTGACCCCATGGACCAGAGCACGCCAGGCACTTCTGTCTTCCACTGCCTCCCGCAGTTTGGTCAGACTCATATTTGTAGCTTCGAGAACACTGTCCAACCATCTCGTCCTCTGTCGTCCCCTTCTCCTTCTGCCCTCCATCTTTCCCAACATCAGGGTCTTTTCCAGGGAGTCTTCTCTTCTCATGAGGTGGCCAAAGTATTGGAGCCTCAGCTTCACGATCTGTCCTTCCAGTGAGCGCTCAGGGTAGATTTCCTTCAGAATGGATATGATACCCCAAATCTGGTCCCCATCCCTGGTGCAAAGCTTTATTCTTCATCTGGTGGGCTGCGATCTACAATAGGGTCGTGACTGTGTTTATTGTGGGGTTATGCCAACAACACCATGGCCATCTTTTGAAGAGAGAAAGGGAAGAGGAAAAGAAGAGGGCCATATTTGGCGCTCTACAAAGCCTCTTCTTTCGCACTGCAAAAAAACAGGGCATCTGTTAGGCTGCACTACATAGTAGATAGGCTCGGTAGGTAGGTCACAAGCTGTACACCTAGATAGGGTTAGATAGATAAGAACAACTTGTCCAACCTAAGAACGTAAGACAAGCCCTGCTGGATCAGGCCAATGGCCCATCTAGTCCAGCATCCTGTTCTCACAGTGGCCTGTCAGATGCCTATGGGGAACCTGCAAGCAGGACCTGAGTTCGAGAGATTTCTCCCCTCCTGTGCTTTCTAGCAACTAGAGTTCAGAAGTATTACTGTTTCTAGCTGCAAAGGCAGAGCACAGGCATCATGGCTAGCAGCCGTTGGCAGCCTCCCCCTCTATGCATTCGTCTAATCCTCTTTTAAAGCCATCCAAAGTAAAGATAAGGTAAAGAAAAGTACAGTGGTACCTCCGGTTACAGACGCTTCAGGTTACAGGCTCAGGTTACAGACTTGGCAAACCCTCACCATGATCAACTCCCACCTGGAAACCTATGCCCACCTTTTCATTTCCCTAGACATTTAAACATTGCTAAGTTTTAAAATTTCAGAGCATTTAAGATGATCTATGTTTTTTAACTGATTGGAGTTTCATACTGTGTTTACACTGGGCTATGCTGCTGTTTTAAATTTTCTCCAATATTTATTTGTTTGTTTTAAACTCTTTTACAAGATGTCCTGGGAATGCTTACTGGCCTTTGAAAGCTGAGGGATAAAGTACAGAAATAAATAAATGCATAAGTAGGAGTAGTAGTACAGTGGTACCTCGGGTTACATATGCTTCAGGTTACATACGCTTCAGGTTACAGACTCCGCTAACCCAGAAATAGTACCTCGGGTTAAGAACTTTGCTTCAGGATGAGAACAGAAATTGCGTGGCTGCAGCGGGAGGCCCCATTAGCTAAAGTGGTACCTCAGGTTAAGAACAGTTTCAGGTTAAGAACAGACCTCCAGAATGAATTAAGTTCTTAACCCAAGGTACCACTGTACATGACAATAGTGGGATGGAAAATGTTTACTAAAGCATTTAACCAAACATGACCGATGTGTATGCAACTTTTAGGTGGGGGAGGGATTAGGAATTTTGGGGGCCTTCAGGAAATGAAGATGTTTTTCCAAAACATGTATGCAATGCTTTTCCCCCCCAGGGGGTACTCAAGGATACGCCACCTCTTTTTGTTGTTAAAAAGTTTGACACTTACTGTAACAACTTCATTGTGAGTACCGGCACCTACTTTTCTAGAAAAAAAGCACTACATGTATAAACAAATTTCGGAGATTCTTACTTAGGAAAGGAGCCCACAGGGAGGGGAGGTTTATCCTCTCACCTTATCATCAGAATCAGAATGGAGAATGAACACACACATACACACACATACAGCCAGAGTGTTTAGTCCCTGTTGGTGTGCAGGTTTGATCTCCTTTCCAGTTGTGGAGGGCGAGCAAAGAAATAACCCTCTCCTGCCCGTGTGCAGTCTTTCCAGAAGGAATTGGGTTCCTTCGTGGCTGTAATTATTTGTGGCAAAACAAGATAAATAGCTGCTTGCTATGTATTAAGTGAACATCTCGTTTGGGCCTTGGGGAAATCAGGTAGGGAAATTAATACTAATGAGAATATTAATTCAACACAAACCCCCAAGAACGCCAAATCTTTCTGCTCCTGATCTCCCAAATGTTTAAACTGCTGGCTTGCTCTGTCAATGGTAGATACAGAGGTGATCGCCAACTGAAAGCTTTGTTAAGGAAAGAATTGCTTTCTGGGGGGAACACACCGTGAAATGTGGCAGAATGAAAGACGTTTCATTAGAGTAAAGTGTCCTCCTAATCCAGGGGTCAGCAACCTTTTTCAGCCGTGGGCCGGTCCACCGTCCCTCAGACCATGTGGTGGACCGAACTATATTTTGAAGAAAAAAATGAATGAATTCCTATGCCCCACAAATAACCCAGAGATGGGTTTTAAATAAAAGCACACATTCTAGTCATGTAAAAACACCAGGCAGGCCCCACAAAACCCCAGAGATGGATTTTAAATAAAAGGACACATTCTACTCATGTAAAAACACGTCCGTGGGCTGGATTTAGAAGGCGATTGGGCCAGATCCGGCCCCCGGGCCTTAGGTTGCCTACCCCTGTCCTAATCCCTTCTTCCACATACTCCAGTTTGACCACTGTAGCAGAAGCTGAAGCCATTCTGAAATAGGAACTTTCCCCATCTTCTCATAACCTTTATGAGATTTTCATTTGCCTCCTTTTAATTTTGTATGTGTTCATTTGCAGCCTATATAGAAGGAAGGCTGGCCTTGCTGCCATCCATTTATGGCACTCAAACTAGGCTCGAAAGCATTAATTACTCCCTGCAATTAATGTGTTCATTAATAAATGGCAAGAATGTGGATTTTAAATTGGATTCCGGTCATACTCTGCACCTTTCAGAAAGTGTAGCATTATTGTAGTCAATGGCTGTACAAGCAAGAGATTTTTGTGCTTTAATTTGGGCAGTGTGTTTTAAATTGAAGATTTGAAAAAGGAAAAAAAGCAAGATGATATTCTTGGTCTTTATTTTCCAGAGAAACTTTATTTTTTTGTTATTATTAAACACCCTCTCAGAACGATCTGGCTGTATTTATTTTAATTGGCTAATTAATCAACTAATTGGCTACATAAGACTTCTTCCTGCATGGCTTTTGCCCTGTCACTAAGTTAGCTTGGAATGTCCCCACCTTCAGAGTCCATCAAGCCAGTTTTGACTCGGCCTTTAAACCACTTCGGCTAAGTATTTCCTCGACAACGATGGCCTTGAGATTTAGTGCTTTCTGCTTCCAATTAACCTCCCAGATCCTCACCATTCTCTCCTAACTAGTTATTTACCAAAGTTATATCTTACCTTTTGGCTTGGAATCAGGCCCACAAGGCAGCTCGTAGTATATGGGAATGAAATGCTGCCATGGTATGTAAATGCAAACAACAGTGCAATGAAATCTAAAACCAGGGCCATAACAGGTATTTCAAATGTCCAAATCCTTTGAAGGAAAAAACCCCCACAGGAATAAGCTCACTGTGTGCCTAAAAGGGTGGTCCAGCCAGCCTCTCTGGAAAGCATGGGTGCCACCACCAAATAAGGACCTGCTTCTTATCCTACCCAAGTCCACGTCTTACTGATTTGCCTTAGAGTCACTTTGCAGAAAGTCATGTGTAATAGTCACCCAGAGTCCTGAAAAGAATATCAGCTGTTTTTCAGAAGCATATTGCTTTGAACAGTAGAGGTAAGATAGGCTTATTGACCATTAATTTGTTTAACCCTCATTTAAAGCTGCCTAGGCTGGTGGTGGCCATTGCCTCTTGTGGCATAGCACAAGTGGGTTTGGGAGATTTTTAGTTTTTACAAGAAACCTAATTCTCAGTGCCCTAAAACAAAGCCATGTGTGTTATGTCAAAAGAACGGCGCTTAGGTCTACTTCCTCATATTTGTTTTTTCTCTTGAAAAAACAGTGAGACCTATATATTTCTATGCTCATCAACGTAAACATGGATTGGTTTGTTTTTTTTAACCACCTCAGTGGCTATTTTGGTTTTCCAAAATAAAACTCTGTGTGGACACTTGAGCCTGCGATGTCACTTACAGTCATAGAGTAATAGAGTTGTGGAGTTGTAAAGGACCACGAGGGTCATCTAGTCCAACCCCCCTCCAATGTAGGAATCTTTTTGTGCAACGTGGCTCTCAAACCCACAGCCCTGAGATGAAGAGTCTCATGCTCTACTGACTGTGCTATCATCACCGTGGCAGCAGTAGTAAAGAATTAATCATTTTTAAAAAGCAGCTGGTCCCAACTCAAATGTCCCGCCCCATTTGCACTGTGTTTAAAGCTGTGTTGCATCACTTGGAACAGTCATGGCACAAGAAACCTGGGAACTGTAGTTCTAAAGGGTGGTGAGAGTTGTTAGGCTGCCCCTATTTCCCTCACAGAGCTACAATTCCCAGAGATCAGTCCATCCTTCCCAGGCAGCTCTGGGAACTGTGTCTTTTGTGGTGAGTCTGCTAACAGCTCAGCACCCTTAATAAACTACAGTTCCCAGGATTCTTTGGGTGACGCCATGGCTGTTAAAAAGTGGTATAAGAGTGTTTTTAATGCATAGTGCAGTTGGGGTCTTTTATTGTTCAATTAACTTGTCCTTGGCTCTTCTTGGCTCTGCTTTATTAAAAGGCAGGTACAGGTATTTGCACTTAAAGTTTCAAATTACTCCTTCCCGTGCAGGGATGCCTGTTTGAATGTTTCCAAGAAAGTATTGTTCTTCTGTGACAACAGGTCAGGAAGACTCTGCATTAATTAAACTAACATATGGTTATTAACAGATTCTAGCTCAGGGAGCAATACTTTACAATGTTATCTTCCAGATAGTCAGATGTTAGCCATATTGTCAGTGCTGGCAGCTATTGTTTCACTCATTTACTTCACAGAGCTAATTACTCCCTAATAATAACTTTACCTTGGAGTTTTTCACTTGCTTGTGCCAGCAAACCTGTTCACACTACATATGCTAATTATTGGCACTTATTCATTATGTTAAGATAGCTTTAAGTTCAAGCTGTGCAGCCTGGCTTTCAGTATAGAACCAGCTGGCTGCAAAGTTCCACCTTTTTTTCTACCCTTCTCCCCCTCCCCCCCCCAAACTAAAGTCATTAAAACTTTTACTACAGGATCATCTTATTATTTTAACAAGATTTGGTTTTAGAGAAGCTGACTGCATGTTCAGTTAGCTTCTCCTAGCAAGGGCATGTCTGTAACAAGATGCATCTTGTTTTCATAATCACGTTTGCTTAACCATTTTAGACGAACTTTTAATGTGCCCCCACTATCCTTATCTTAGGGCTATGCCATCTGCGGCAGAGATGGAGGGCATTCCCTCCCCGCCTCCAACGAATCTTGTGGCGATACTTTTCGCTAGTCTTGAACAAAACTGCCCCCCACAAATTTGCCAGCTCTCTGCAGACAAGAGAATTTCATAGAATCGTAGAGGTGGAAGGGGCCCAGGGGTCATCTAGTCCAACCCCCTGCAATGCAGGAATCTCGGCTAAAGCATCCATGACAGATGGACATCCAGCCTCTGCTTAAAAACCTCCAAGGAAGGAGAGTCCACAACTTCCTGAGGGACGCTGTTCCAACGTCAAACAGCTCTTACTGTCAGAAGGTTTTCCCGAATGTTTAGTCAGAATCTCCTTTCTTGTAACTTGAAGCCATTGGTTCGAGTCCTGCCCTCAGGAGCAGGAGAAAACAAGCTTGTTCCCTCTTCCACGTGACAGCCCTTGGGATGTGAATGGTCCATTTTGGTTTTGTTGGAGAGAGCTAATTCCCCCACTGAAAGGATTTGTGAAGGGCTTATCACTGTATTGTTTTTGATATTTGGTTGGAAGCTGCCCAGAGTGGCTGGGGAGACCCAGTCAGATAGGCGGGGTATAAATAAATTATTATTATTATTATTATTATTATTATTATTATTATTATTATCATCATTATCATCACCACTGACTCCCTGAGGAGGCCATAGTCAACTCTAGCCCTGCCATTAGGCAGAGTGTGACAGCTGCCTCATACAGCAAATTCTGAGAGGCAAGGAGTGGACAGAGCTGTGTGTGCCATGCGGCTTGCTCTGGACTCTCCGAGCTAGTCTGCTTTCCTCAAGAGCAATGGAGGACTCTGCCCCAGCACTCACATCAAAGTAAGATTCAACTGCCAGTCTCTTTGGCTGTTGTACATAGACTGTGGGAGGCGCCATTTTGTCCTCAGTAGCAACATGTCATGGGCTGAAAGGTGGCTTTGAAATAAATAAAATGGGGCAGCAGCAGCAGGTTTAATGACACAGACCCTCCACAGGTGCCTATTTTCCAGGGACAGTCCCAGGTTTACAGAAGCCATCCCGGTTTCTGATTTGATCCCGGAATGTCCCACTTTTCCTTAGGATGTCCCTATTTTCATCAGAGAAATGTTGGAGGGTATGATGATGACAGCAAGACACCCTTCTTCAAAATGGCAGCTGCCATTTTGCCCTCATTTCTGAGCACTGGTCCTTCTAGCTAGGAGAGGTTAGACCACCCTTGTTTTGCTCCAAGAATGTTCTGGAATGATGATCAGGGCATTCCGAGTCCAGGGCACGTTGAGGGGAAATGGCCACCAATGAGCTTCTCTGCTTCCTCCCTTCAAGTTTTTTTAAAAAGATTAAAACCCTTCCACTACACTGTTTTCATCTGCCCTTATTCCTAGGAATAAGAAGCCTTCTCACTCCTTTAGGGGGAAAAAAATCCTGTCCCTAATTTCAGAGCCTCCTGCCCCATTCAATCCAAAGGTTGACTTTTGGGGATTTTCAAGTTTGGAACTATTTCTTGCTTTCTCTGAAATTGATCCTTTTCTTACCTCAGAATCCAAGCATATGTTACATCTGAGCAAGACACCCCTCATTCCCCTCATATTTCACTTTGATGGTCTTTAGATAGCAATGAAAAGCATATGTCTTCACCTGGGGGACTTGGATTTTATTTTGCTTAATGAAATTTATAGGCTGCTTAAATCATAAAAATAAAAATCCAAGCGCTTCTTATGTGAAATGGTGCTGGGATTCAGTAACTGAGGTGGTGGACTGTGGTGTTATTTTAGCTTGGGTTTGATGCAAGGTTTTTAAAAATGTTTTGAATGTGATTGTCTTATGATGCGTGTTGTAATATTTGTTTTACTCTGAGCTCTGTTGGGAGGAAGACTGATATGTAAATATAACAAAGAAACGAACAATATGCAACATTTGGTGCCAGCTCTATAAATGATAACTTTTATTTAAGTGGGTGGACTTGGGCATGCAGGGGGAACATTTAGGCAGAGCATCTCAGGAAAGTCACTGGTACCTAAAAGGGCTTTTTTTCTATATTGCAAAATTCCTCAGAGATTTTTATTTTTATTCTAAATCCTTTTATGGCCACTGAGTTCTGCTTAAAGCAAACTTTGACATGAAAATTCAGACACAGCATCTGATATTGTGGTAAAACAGAGATTCCGAAATATGCCTAATCTCAGGAATGAAAACAGCACTTGTTTTCTATTTTCCAGTCAATCCTAACCATATATACTCAGAGGTAAGTCCTGTTGAATTCACCAGGGCTTACACTCAGGTAAGTGGAATTAGGAGTGCAACCTCACCGCATGAACATGCTTTGAGAAGCATCAGTTGGCAATGGATTCCCAAAATGTCTAAATACAGAAAAATAAATGCAGTCTTGCTCTTCACACCTGGTATCAGTGTAAATGGCTTCCCTCCTTCACTACATCTTCATAGATTATAATGTCATGTTTTGTCACACAACAACCCTGTGAGGAAGAGTAGTGGAACCGTAGCTGAGATGACTAGCAGCTGCATGAGTGGACTGCTTCCAATTGGATGCTGTGGTCATCAAATGATGGAAGTGCAGATGCGAACCAGCGTTTTCGCTCATACTCTGCCCCATAGGAAGGATGCCCAAAGAGTCTCAATCCTTTATCCGTTTGTTTATACAGTGGTACCTCGGGTTACAGATGCTTCAGGTTACAGACTCCGCTAACCCAGAAATAGTACCTCGGGTTAAGAACTTTGCTGCAGGATGAGAACAGAAATCGTGCGGCAGCGGCAGCAGTGGGTGGCCCCATTAGCTAAAGTGGTACCTCAGGTTAAGAACAGTTTCAGGTTAAGAATGGACATCCAGAACGAATTAAGTTCTTAACCTGAGGTACCACTTTACTCCAGTTAAACAAACATTAAACTTTTCTCCCACCATAACTGGAGTATGTGCTCTCCCCCTATTTTAACCTCCTGATAGCCCTGTCAAATAGGCTAGGTTGAAAGAGAATGGCTGGCCTAAGATTACCCAGCAAGCTTCATGGATGAGTGGAGATTTGAACCCAAGCCTAGTCTAACACTCTAGCCACCCTAAATGATGCAAACAGAGATGCTTTCTGGGTTTATATATATTTCTCCCTCATTCTGACATTTCCGTGTCCATCTCTTCTTCCTCGCAAACAATTCCTGAGATTGGATCATCTCTCATTCCCTCCCTCCCTCCTTCTCTCTGTCTCTCTCTCTTCATGTACACAAGAGAGATCCATCAGGCATTTCTCTATAATGTCAACCCTGTTCAGATCTTGGCCAGCCACTGCTGGCTCTATGATTTGGAGGCCACCTCAGGGATTGATCTCCCAGTAGGACACACACACACACAACCTGCAAGGGGCCCTTCATGCCAACTGAGATCTCTCTTAAGCAACATCTGAGCTTCTTGGATACTTTGTGCAAAGTGGAAGGCTAGGGCAGTGGGCCCCCTGCTGGACTTCGGGGCCCTGGTCAGTGCTCAACTTTACCACCCTCTGGCGCTGACCCTGGGTCTATATAGGCCTTAGTGTTGCAAAGAGAAGCTTGAATATGCAATGATCAAAGCAATTCTAGTGTGGCTCGCTCTCTCTCTCTGCACTGAGCAGGTTGCCTACATCTCTTTTAAGTTCTAGTGCATTGTTCAGTTCATTTATTAGCACAACATTCTATGTCCCCCCCACCCCAATTCCAACAAAAGACTTCCGCAGGCATGAAGTGGGGGAATGCAGCCTCAGCGTAATTGTAGCCAACGGTTTTTCCACAAAAAGACTTTTCTCTGTGTAGAGAATCCACAATGTCCAGCTGTTCCTAGAAGGATTACCAGGGTTTAATGGAGAGCACAGATGGAACCAATAGTATTGTCCAGAGAGTATTCTAGGGCAGAGGCTAAAAT